TAAGGGGTGTCTAGCCAATTTTTTCTCATATTATATGTCGCTTTGGGTGGTTACACGTATATGTAGTCAATAAATATGCATAGATTGTACCAAAAATAACATTGTAAATACTAAAATACCCTTGTCATTAATTATTTTCTAAAATTAATTAAGAGTGATAATGGGCAAAATTGATAAAAATGCAATTAATGCCTTATTGGAACTCTAAAATAACAAATAATTTGGGAAAAAAACACCCCAAAAAAACATATAATAATGGACAAGAGGGAGTATATTTATAGTATTCAAAGAGTATATTGAATACATCAAGTATTAATGGAAATATCTTAAACCCTTACGTTTTGACATCAACATTAAATGCATATTGAATGCATTCATAACATTTTTATCTTCATCTTTTGCTATAATTAAAGGGATAATTAGTTGGACCCCTTAATTAAAAATTATATGGGTGGGGTCCATTTTGTTAGATGATTATATGTATAGGTCCCTTGACCAATAAAAGTAATATAAATTAAATTAAATTATTAGTATACTTACAAAAATATCTTCAATTAATATTTATATGAAAATAGCTAGTTATGGAAAATAAAAACAAGGGGGAATATGCCAAACACCCTCCATTGAGTTTTTTATTCTTGATAAATCCTTAATTAATTAATGGTATTTGAGATAAATCCATTAGACTTGAAAACCCATATATGCCCTTACTTATTAGTATAATTATTAAATTAAATATTACGGTAAATTGATACCAAATCCCTCCCAAAAATAAATCAATTCCAAATCAATCCCAAATCACATTACCGTATAATTCGCCCCTCTTCCCCCAAATCACGGTAGAAAACATAACAGTATAATATGCAGTCATTTTTTTTTTAAATATTTTTTTATATTAATTTAAAAAATAAGTTTTTTTTTTTTACTTTTTTTAATGGTTCATATTTAAAAAAAAAATCCACTACATACACATCGAAAACCACTAAATTTATCGAAAACCACTATGAAATTAAAGTAAAAATTACTATAAAATAAGCACAATCCACATTAATATTAACATAATCCACTATGTAATTAGTGAAAACTACTATGTAATTAGTGAAAACCACTATGTAATTAACAGATTTCACAAAAATTCACTAAAAACCTATCAATTAACAAGTGGTTTTTTTTTTCTTTCCAGTTTTTTGAAATAAAAACCACTCTATATAAACATGAAAACCACTCTGTATAAACAGCTATATAAACATGAAAATCACTTTGTATAAAAACAACTATATAAACATGAAAACCACTATGTATACACAAACTATATAAGCGTGAAAACCACTATGTATAAACAACTATATAAACATGAAAATCATTGTGTATACACAACTATATAATGTAAACCACTACGGAATTAACCTAATCCACTATACAGAATTATTAAAAACACTAGAAAATTGATGTAAACCACTACGGAATTAAGCTAATCCACTTTTGCAGCCATGATTTCCCTGCTCGTGAAATGAAAGACAACGGATCAATCAAATTTATTCAAAATTTTCCCTTTTCAATGGCAAAAACTTAAAATCCACTGTAATTTATAGAAAACCACTATAACTTATCGAAATCCACTAGAAAAACAAATGTAATTCATAAGTGCACAAGATCAACCAAAATTAAATTCACTATAACTTATCAAAATTCAGTACAAAAATAAATCAATTCCACTCATTCAAATAATTGATGAAATTATCCATTGCACGTCGCAAGAAAACAAAAAAGGGACAGAAAACTCCTTTTAGCTAATAAAAATATACAAAAAAAAATTATAAAAAAAGAAAGAAAGAAAGAATTCAAAATTAAACCAGCATCTTCTACAAAGGCGATGCAAAAGAGGAAAAAGGAGAGGAGATGAAATAAACGATCGAATTGGAGAATACGAGAGCTAGACAAACAATTGCTTTACATAAAGTTTTGAATTTACATACATTCCTTCTCCCCATCATGTTTTTTGGATTCAACGATCCCAAATAATAAATAAAACTTAATTTGCATATGTCATTTACAGATTTGCACGATTCACAAAGTTAGCCAGTAAAAAATTGGCACATCGATGAGAACAATTTCTTACCTCATAATTAAGAGGAAAAAATCATACATTTAGGTAATATGCGGTGAACCAATCTTCGTTCTCCCGATTGTTCGGGCTCATCAATGGAATCACCGCAGGCTGCTGTTATATCCGCCTCACGGGTCCTCCGAGGGTCTGGCCAAAAGAAATCTGCCCCGCAATAGGGGCACACGTGTATTTTCGGCGGGGAGAAAAGAGAAGCTCGACGGCGGCGATGAAGAAGATTGAGAGTAGGGCAGCAACATTACAGAAAAAGGCAAGGTTCAACCGAAAACCCCTTAGATTTGAGCGTCGGCGGTGAATAGAAAAGGGGAAGAATTAAAGAATATCTGGCGCTTGATTTTTTTACCACCGAGATCCCGCTGTGAACGGTGGAAAGAGGAGAGGAGGAGGCGGCGATGGAGGGTGAAGAAAGGGGAGACGACGGCGGTCATAAAGGAGAGGTTTGGGAGAAATCGAAATAAGAAAAAAGTAATAGACAGTGGATTAAATGACTTGGATCGTGAATATAGGCTTGGGAGTTTAGATGGAATTATAATACAATTATTATAAATTAATGTTAAATAAAAGTCAAATAAAAAGAAGGGTATAATTGTGAAACTATATTATTTTTTATTTATTAAAAGTGTTTTGGATTTAATTTAAAAATGAGAAAAAAATTTGGACCCATTGTAATTGGAGGAGTCTAATGAGGGGTGTTATCCCACATATCTCTCTCTCTCTCTCTCCCTCCCGTCTCTTTTTTTTTTTTTGGATTTTGTTGGTTATAGAAAACAATTGTTACACTTTGAACTTGTGTTTTTATTTTTTGTTGTTGTCATTATTTGTACTTTACTTTTTATTTTTGCAGTTTGTGTATATGAATGATGTGTTTTTTGCTTTAATAAATTTTACACTTTGCTATTTTTATTTGTTATTTACTTCTTTTTTAATACTTCGTTACTGTTATCCACTAATAATGCAAACTTCAAACAATAAAACGTCCTTTTATATAATGCGCATATCAACCAACAAACATCAATTTCTAATAAATATTATGGCAAAATTATGTTTGCAGACTGTATTAACAAAACAAACTTTGCAGTTTCAATATAAATAGGGAATCGTAAGACGAATTGTTGCTTTCCTCCATTTGAAGACTCCGATGATTCATTTACTTTACTCGTCCCCTTTATCGAATCAACTGTTGAATTTATAAAAAAAATTGCACACCATGTGAGCCCCTATAATCCATGTTTTGCACATAATAACATGCAAGGTGTATTTGGTAACATCAAGTGCAAATTGTAATAGCAAGTGAAAATTGTAATTCCAAACTGTAACATACATTTTTTAAATCACGACATGCCTAAGAATACAATAGCAGTGCAGGTTTACAAAATTGATATGACATCAAAGTGTAATGAAATATTCAATATTGAAAAGCACATTTCATGCAAAATACAAACTAAACCGCAACTACTCTAAAAACAGCAAAATGCAAACAAAAAACACCAGCATCGAATATATATTGTTGTAACGACACAAGAAATTAAATAATACTAGCTATGTTCCAGATGCAAGAATATTTCTTTTACCCCTACAAGCTTCAAATCATTGAATATACTCGTCCAATTCAAGTAGTCATACTTCATAACGTGATTTTGTTTACATGAAAGCTAATAACATGATGATTCACTGAAGCAATCAAACTACCAATTAACATCCTTAAAACGGTATGTATACCCTATTAGAAACCCCCAATTTCTCTCAATACCAACATAGATGATTTCCAATGTTCCGCACACAAACGTGACGAGTACAATTATCATTAAGATAGCACACGTCCTGAAATTATATCCACAATTCTAATTTTTCATCCAAACAAGTTTCATCCTAACAACAAAATAAAAAAAGAAAATGATATAACACAAATAAAATCAGCAAATTCAAAACAGACAATCAACCGAAAGAGGCATTCAAGAAAATAATCAGTGGGTCCAAAAAGCATAAAAAGCGACAGAAAACCAAAAAATAAAGCAATCGACAGTATAACAGCAGAACAACCGGTTTAATATAGTAACATAAAAAATTAAAATACAATCAACAATATAATTTCACATAAAACAACAAAATCAAAACCAACAAAAAAAGACCTTTGCAGAAAACAAAAATGATTACTTGGGGTCGTAGACTCCAAATCTCTTTCATTCACTTCATTTATAGAAAAAATCCGTTGCATTCCGTCAATGAATCTCGATTAAAAAAAACAGGAATATATAGCAAATTATCTGTACGTTTTCGATTTTGCACCAATCTTCTCGGTTGTATTTTGTTTTGTGGCGGTTTGCAGACTTACAGAGTTTCCATCGATCTCGGCAATAAGTAGCTAGGGTTACACAGTTTGCGTTGAAAGAAATGAGGGAGAGGTTTTAGTTTAAATATCGCGAAATGAGATTTTTTTCGTCTCAATTTAGCTTAAATTGATTTGGTGGATAATTAGATTTAAAAATGGAATTTTCCTATTTTGCTGAGAGGGCAAATTGGCCAAAAAGAATAGTAGGGAGTTATAGAAATATAAGACTTATGACTTGGATTAGCACCAATATAATCTTAGAATGGATGGTCTATAGAAAATTACCCCATAATTAAATTTATATTATTAATTAAATGATATTATTAAGTATCAAATATCACATGTCAAAATCTTAGATAACCGGTGAAGTTTACCGAATATAGCATAGAATAGACCGAATGGTGTGGGTATGATTGAAAAACAAAATAAAATATCATCCAATCAGCAAAAGTTCATTTTGATATTGGAGCCTGAATGGGTAAGCGGGTCGGATCTGGATCCTAACCCGTTGTTGAATAAACTCTACTCGAGACTCAGACAATTTAATTAGCAAAACTTAATAACAATTCAAAGGGAAGAAGAAACTCATATACAAAGGTGCTATACATAGCTATCTCTCAACCTTCAAAAACTCCGACCTTAAAAAATTTCGATCGGCAAAACCCGATTTTCAATCAAACAATCGATACAAGCGAAAAGGCAAAAACAAAGACTCAAAATTGAAGATTCTACATTCCCTTGCCCTTATTACACGGTGGTTACATGACATACCGAAAAAACACGAGAAAGAAAATGTAGAAGCTTCTCCATCAATAGAAACTTGGATTATAGGCACGTATAATATATACAACCACACACATTACACACACTAAGATGTGTCATCTCGTATTTCAGATGATATAATATGCTTCAATTTGCAGATCTTTTAAAATCACAATTCCTGAAGGTGCTGACTTCACGGGCACATATCTGCTAAGTGGAAGAAATTTTATATATATTTCTTGTGTGGGGACCACCCTTGCTGGATTGTCCAATATCTCAAAACTTGGCTCGGGTTCGGATTTCTTCTCCGTGGAGCTATCAACCTAACATAATACAAACATTAAATTCAAAACTCAGCAAATCCCCCCAGTTAATAATACCAAGCAAGCGTTTTGACGTAAGGATTTGAATTTGCAGGAAGGATTTGTAAACCTTAATCCATAAGATTTGTTATTGTGGATTCTGAAATCGATAGGTTTGTTCAAATCCTTTAATCCAAACACAAACTTGCATGGAATTTTACCTGCATGGAATCTGCCTTCTCGTTTTCTTTCTTACCGGGACGGACTCTGCGTCTTGATGACGTGGACAAAATTGCGGTAGGTAGTTTTACAGGTGTAGTAGTTATAGGTACCGTAGGCTTAGGGTACTCGAAAAGAGATGGCTCCGCATGCGATAGAAACTGAAACCTTGGCATATTCAATTCGTAATCCAGACCGATGAAAGCAGTTGTCGAAAATGCCAAACTGATGAAATGTAAAAGCGGGTGCCAATACCAATACTGCGTGAACACAGCAAGACCAATAACTGCAGTCATTCTATCGTATTTCGTCTTCGACATTAATTTGATTGTCACGTTTCTTCCACCTGCATCAATAATTCCCGTAGCTAAAATTGCGCCCATCTTGCTCATTGTTTCTTCCCACTCATCGAGGATAATTTCTTCCAATTGTCGCCTATTTAATTACAGAAAACAAGGTTATTTTTTTATTTTTTTTATTTTTAAAGTAGAAGACAGCGTAATTTAGACAGAATACCTAAAAGCACCCACACGAGAATCACTGACTTCACTTATCTGGAGCATCACCATAGACATTGCAATTAGAGCACCTTGTCGAACAAAGTCAACATCATCTGAAGTCAAAGGCTCGAGCAAAGATATAGCCTCACTAAGACCACTGCCTGCACACGAAATTCCAACTGCCAATGCTGCACCATACCTAACATGCGGATTGTACGACTTGGATAACAGTGAAACCATTCGAGGAGTCTGCAATTTTTTGAGTAAATGAAAAAAATAAATATAAATTTACTTTTTTCGAGATTTCGTTTCACAAGCAAAGGGAAATGCATGCACCAACCTGTTCAGGATCAGAATACAGCACGAACCCGAGGGCAATGACAGCTGTCCTTCTGACATCATTGCTGACATCAGACACAGCAAAGTGCAGCAGCTTACGTATGGCCTTACTGTTTAATGTACCTCTATATGCCAATGCTATAGCATACATGCCACCATAACGCAAGATCGGATCTTGATCTCGAGTCATTTGCTCAATGAGTGTATCGGCTTCTTCCTCTCTTCCGTAAACTGTCAAAGCTACTCCCAAAGCCAAACCTCTATCAAGAGTCCAACCCCAATTAAAAAATTAGATACCACCAAATAAATAAAGAAATAAGATTAAAAAAGAGATACCTGAAATCCAGTTTACCTAACAATCTTCTCGTGCTGAGTTTTGTGGGCATAATCAAGCATTTCTACAGCCCTCTCACTTGCAGTTCCAGCCATTAACAAACCCATGCTAATGCCAGCAGCTTCACCAGCAAGAGCACTATCAGTGTACAACACGTTTTTCAAGTCTTCGAAAACGTCATTATCAGCATTGCCCAATGCTGCCAAACCAAGACCTAAGCAAGCACCATGCTGAATAACCTGTACCATTAGAAGAGAAAAAAAAAAACCAAACAGCTTTTTAGGTACCTGTCAGTTTATTAAGATACATAGGCTGCCTAAAGATCGTACAAACCTCAACACTACTGCTTGATAAGCTCCCGCGCAGAAATGTTTTAATGTCTTCTTCATTATTGTTCAAATGCATTAAACCAAGACCAAACCGTTGTCCACCTGCAGTGTAGGGACCGTCGCTAGCACCGTGTTGCATGTAAATATCCAAAACGGATTTATTTTGCAGTTGATGGCCTCTGTGGATGACTCCAAGTCCTGCCATTGCACTAAATTTAGCCCAATTGCTATCCCTATTCAGCAACTCCTGATAATTTATCCAACTGTTAGCTCAAAAAAAAAAAAAAAAGAAAAAAAGAAAGAAAGAAAGAAAGAAAGAAAAGAAAAGAACATTGCAAATGACCAAAGAATATATGATGAGAAAAGCTAATAAACTAGGCCGATTGGTATTTACCAGATTCTCCATAATATATTCATTGGCAGTTGTCCCAGCATGCATAATAGCATTGGAGTAAATAATCGCATTATGGCAGACGCTATTTGTCATGTCAACAGACTGCTCTATTTTCTTAATGATAAAATCCAACCTGTAAGCAGGCAAGAAACAAAACGCGCATCAAATTTCCAACCCCTCGTATGAAACGTAATTTTTGGTTACAGTTAACGAAACGAAAGGGAATATAGCCTAACTTGTCATTAGTGGCCAAGAATTGCATCGACAACTGCATCGAAACCTCTCCGAACAAAATTCGTCTTATTTTTGTGAACTCCTCAGCATACACTTCTTCATGTATATTTCCACTTGGCTGTAACTTGGGTGTGGAAAGCTGACTCATCACCTTCAAAAGGAATGCTCGGTTCTCATTCTCCACAAGATCAAAGGCTATTTGAAAAGCCAATAGTGCATGATTCACATATTCTGATCGTAAGAGTTTCTCCAATATTTTCGCAATGCCCTCCGAATCATCTAACATCATTAGGCATTGACAAATACTTGAATAATCAGGAGAAAGCTGCTCATACATTTTTACAAGAAAACGAAGCACCTGCACGAGAATTACAGGTCAGTCAATATCTCTCCCTCATGGAATTTTTCTGAATCTGAATATGATTTGTTCAGCACAAATCATATGTGAAAAAAAATGATCGTTTCCAAAACCTTAAATCAGTTGATTTTTTAAAGATTCGACCAAGCCCATTATATATTTGATTATATTTACCTCATGCCGATACTCTCTTGGGTTGAGAAAGGAACGGGATACATCCATGCAATAATTAATGGTAGATTGGATATCATCACTCCTTATAATTGCCGCCTGAAGAATATCCCATCGTCTGCATTCAATAGCCATTCCTATGGCTTGTTTATATTTTCCGTCTGTTATACATCTGTTAATAAAAGTAAAAAACCAAAATATAAATGAAGAACCAAATTACTAAGTTAGGTAAAAGAACAGATATTTTTACATACTTGTCAAGCATTCTCTCAACAACTGCCTCAAGTCTAGAATCAAGTACTGTAGATTCATCATTTGCCTCCGCTGCTTTGGTCCTCAGACTGGCATATTCATCAATTGCTTTTGCTGAGCAATGACAAGAAATTACAAAATATTAGAAGCAGATTACATTATCACTTATTTATGAATAATGCCCACCACAAAGAACATAATTTAAACGGGAAAAACGATCATGTAATTCTTACCAAGAATAGTACGAACAAAATCTGAATCCTGTGATACATCAAATAGTGGACCAGCTCCCAGAGCATATGACAAAGAGTCATTAAGTTCACACAGGTAATAGAAAACCTGAAGAAAGAACCCACGTTAATTTTAAAACAAAAATCACGTTTTATGACATAGGACCTTCAAAAACTAAACATTAGTATTACACGATCATTTATTACTTATCAGTGATGACATTTTCTTATCCAAATAATCAAAAGAAAAAAAAAACATGCCCAATGAATCCTGTGTGTGAATGAGTGAATTTTTAGGTCTGAAGGAAATATACAATTGTACAATTGTCAAACTAAACCCGATTTTCTAAAATGTTAAACCATGCAATTGGATATATTATTTCCTCCAACCAAATACCGTATTAACTTCCTAAAATAGGTCCCCTACATACACCAAAATTGACGGGGACATTTCCGCAGGCATTTTTTTCCGTATTAAGGTTAGTTCTTACTTCTTAATGGACTAGAGAAGTAGACAATCAACTTAAGGAAGCTCATACGGAAAACTAAAAATAGGCGAATCCCATTCGAAATTTTTTTTTATCAGAATAATATAATAACCAGTAACAGATTTCCACCTTTGAAACAAGCAATGCAGCTAGCTGCCTCTGGTCAAACTTTTCATCTTCATACAAACTTTGACTGCATCGAAACAAATTTATTTTTCGTCAAACAAATGGATATCAACTGCTACGGTTATTAAGATTATTTCAAAAAGGATTCCAGAGTACCGATAGCAGCCGACGGATATTGCAACTCAAAATTCATACTTAACGATACAATACAGATTAAGCTTACAATACAAAGATGGGCAAATTAAGGAAATCAATGTAGAACTTTCTATTCGACTCAGTGGTGAATCAACAAATCACACCACTCCCAATCCCCGACAAAATGAAAATTCTAAGAAATATTTCATCGATTCATGTAACAAATTAAACCGAATTCAACCCCAATAGAACTAACTTCTTGCACACAGCTTTACCAATTCTATGATTAAAAACACCAAAAAAAAAAAAAAAAAAAAAAAAAAAAAAAAAAAAAACCCAAACTCCAAATATCTAATCACTTCGAAACTGATTTCATATAACCCAAAATTAGACTACGGTGATCACAAAGAAGTCGGAAATTGCATAAACGGAAATAAAATTCACAAATATGAAGCGAAGTAACGATCAAAGAGAGAAAGAGATTACATGATAGGGACGGAATATGATATCTCTGGCCAGAAGAGGTCAACAAAGGCGTTGAGATTGGAGAGCGCGTGCAGCTTCAGCGCCGGATGGCTTTCGTTCAGCATCGCCAGTAGCGCTCCGGCGGAGCTCACCATCGCCGCCGCCGCAGCCATTGTTGATCGAACACCGGAAAATTGAAGCTCTCGATGTAACTAGATGCGGTTCAGGGTTTGTGGAGGGAAAGCAGAAGCGGTTTCAAAAGTTGTGGAGAAGAAAGAGAGGGGGAATTTTTCATTCACAGCTGAAAAGTGCCGTTTTGTTATTTTATTATTTATTTATTTTTATTAATTAATGATTAGTTTTTAATTTTAATTAAACTCTTTAGTCTTTACCATAATATTAGTTAGGCAAATAGTATACTTTTCATTTAATTTTCACAAAAATCTCAGAGTATAAAATTGTTAAAGTTCATTTGGATTGGAAGATTTGAAACCAGTTAAATTGAGAGCTAATGAGTGAAATCTATTATCAAATGAACCGATCCAAATAAATTGGATGTGTTATTATGGAATTAAAATCCACTATTTACATGTATCACAAGTTTTTGATGCATTTGGAAATTGAATGTAGGGGCAATTATATCAAACTCACTTACGAGAATAAAGATTTACACAATGCATATACATGGTTGGTTTCGAGTTTTTACATAACCAAAAAGAAAAAAAAAAAACATATTCGAATTTTTTTGTTTTCATAAAAGTTCCTAGTCTGTTTTATAAAAGATACCAATGTATTTTTATCAATTATAAATCCCTCCCTAATAATAGTGTTGATGCGTCATGTGAACAACGTATTGAGCACGTTGAAGTCAATTTTTAGAAATACAATGCCAATTTTTTACCAAAATCTAAAAATTTGCATTGTCATATTTAATGAAACTAGCAATGTGCACGTGTCGTAATATTATTATATCAACTTCGAAGTTCTTGTGTGAACATATTTGCGTTAAGCTTATCATAGTGACTCATATAAACAACAGTAGCAGAAGAAGAGTGTAAATGTGTGAAACTGTGTTAACTAAATTTACCAAGTCAAGAAGATAGAAGCTTGGATCCCTATTGCTAGATTTGCTCATTCCACCGATAAATTCCAAAAGAACAACACCAAAGTTGTATACATCTGCTTTGTCTGTCAAATGGCCTCGCATCGCATACTCAGGCGCCATATATCCACTGGGAAATCAAATATCATGTCAGTAATGTTTTTGTCGTCGTTTTTATCGTAAAAAAAATTTGGTTTTTTTTTAATGTTTTTCCGCAAAAGTATAGACCTAAACCTCATGATATAAATCTTATAGAGAGGGACACACTAGGTATTCTATGAAATCAATGGCTTGATCTTTGGTCAGATAAAAATAGTAAACTAGATAAGTATGAATGATTTTGATTACTCACAAAGTTCCAGCAATTCGGGTGCTGATATGGGTGTTATCCTCTTCATCGAGCTCGGCGAGTCCAAAATCAGATATTTTAGCCATAAGATCTTTATCAAGAAGCACATTTGTAGCCTTGATATCACGAAGGACAATTTTAAGTCTTGATTCGGCATGCAGATACGCCAAACCCCTGGCTATACCAATGCAGATCTTGTGCCTCGTTGGCCAATCCAAATGAATTTGGTGTTCTTCTAGACCTGCAAACATTTATCTTCATACATAAGTTTAAAATGGAAAAAGAAATATTGATAGATGAATTAAAAGAAACAAAAATAGAATTGTCACATAACTTACCAAATAATGCATGAGCAAGGCTATTATTTTCCAAGTACTCGTAGACAAGCAACAACCGATTGCCTTCAATGCAACATCCATGTAAATTGACAAGGTGAGGGTGTTGTAGGGCAGAAATCATGTCAATTTCATTGACAAACTCACAGTTCCCTTGCTTTGATTTGGCAGAAAGCTGTTTTACGGTGATGACAGTGCCATCTGATAGGACACCTTCAAATCAGAGGTGGCAGAAAAACTCAATGAGCTGAATGACAACATAAAGATAATTCATTTACTAGAAGTATTTATTGTTTACGCTACCTTGAATACAGGACCGAAACCATCTTCTCCAATCTTATTAGCAGGATCAAAATTGTTTGTGGCAATTTTAATTTGCCTTAGCGTAAATGACCCAGTGTGAAGGTCTACACCCTTTAATTCTGAGAAAAAATAAGTAAAATAGCAATTTAGATAACTACAAACACTTTTCAATCACATAGTTCATTTTAGATATCATTTATTGCACTATGTGAAATATTGCACGAATTTGCACACATGGAAATGGAAATAAGATACAGATACATGTTAAAATTTAAGGATTATATGATTGTGTCAGTATTTTAGTACCATGTTCCAATGTGTCTTTTCGTCTAAAACAACCCTTCCACCAAAGAATAGCAAGAGAGAGAGAGAGAGAGAGAGAGAGAGAGAGAGAGAGAGAGAGAGAGAGAGAGAGAGAGAGAGAAAGAGATATCAAATATACTGTCAAAATAATCCATAATCTCTTTTCTTGGTTATATTAGAGATGTGTCGGACAACTATCTCTCGTGTGTTCAAGTTACTAATTGCCAACTTCCAACTTTCTAGGATCAACTGATATGGCTGAAATGAGAGGACCGTATATGCCTCTAACAGGAATACCATTTGTCCCTTTCCCAGCCCAATAGAAGCGGATATCCAAAGTATTATCAGCAACGACTGCAGTGAAGTTTCTTCTAATTCCCTTGTTAACTCCACCTGCTTCGTTTTCAATGTTGAAATCCTTCAGCACCAGCTTTCCCTGAAATTATTTGTTCCAGAAACGATGAGGCATTTCTTAAAATGGAAAACTACAAATACAAATACAAAACAAATAATCAATAACATCACATGAAAACAAAACTCAACTGATTCATTCAACATAGTTCTCGTATTTAAAAGATAACCCTTTCAGCACATCAGTTATTCTTTCCAGACCTTACTTGTTAGAGATAACCTTCAATATGTGTAGAAAAAAAGTGGGCTTTATACAAGTACCTGAATGTAAACATCAAAGATACGCCTCCCAAGGCTACTGTAGGTTTTGTCATTAGTAAACATGATCCCCGCAAAATGAAGGTTTGCTGTGTAGTTCCCGTTTATCAAACAAAATCCATATAAGTCAATGAGAGTGGGGAACGACGTGCATCCATGTATAACTGGGAATTCGACCCTGAGATGCTTGAGCTGTTTGGCCAGATGAACGAGTCCATAGCGCGGTCATCATCCAAGAAGTTGCCAGTGCTGCTAAATCCCCAGTTTGTCCTACTTGTGAAGAAATTTGAAGCCCCCCAGAAGTTCCATCATTTTCATAAGTAGTTCCTTTATCATCAACTACTTGACTTCCACCACAGTTAATGTAGATAGACGAATACACTGAGACAGAAGCATGGCACAGGTTCTCAATAATTACATCGAAATGAAAAGATAAAAATGAAGGAAATAAGTAAGAGCAACAACACAGATACCCATTCAGAACGAGTAATTTTGACACATATGTCGCAGTCGCAGAAACTCCACCAGAATGTCAAATTACTGCATGCATTGACTTGGCTATCACATGCACTTTAATTGAGCATACACCCGCACGTATAAGGAATACACTCAAAGTTACCCCCTCATCCGTGAACATTGAAACATAAGTTGAAATGATAAAACAAACGTTGAAAAATCAGGCAATGAAACGCCAAATCTGAAGAAAATGAAGTCTCTCTATTACCCAGGAACACAACCCGGTAAGGTGAAAGTATAAGAAAAAAGAAAGTTATAGTATAATCAGGCAACATAATTATTTGCCGGCATCACATTTTAAAATAGAAGCAGGCCTCGCTTCGATTTTCGGCAATGATATACGATGGACTGATTCCTCAACATCCACTGCCGGTGACCTATATCCAGTCGACGTGGAATATTGGGAGAAGAGAGATCTATAAACACTATCTGAAAATTCTTTATTTCTTCGATTTTGTGTACATTTGTGGTTTTGATCTGAATGCAGCTGTGGTGGACAAGAGAAACAAATAACTGTTGCAAATTTCTTTTAGAAAAAAACATATACATTTTTTTATATTAACTAGTAAGTGACACGTGCGTTGCACGTGGTTTATGATTTTTTATAATATTAAATATTAATATATAATATCTATCCCATTAATATAATATTACAAAATTATATAGGGAAAAAATTAATAAAAAAATATAAACACTAAAACTTATTCCAAGTACGTTATAGTTAATTAATAACTAATATCAATCTAAATAATATTTTTAATGATTTGTAAAAGTAATGTCAAGTCCATAGCGAGCCAACTCGTGGAAAGATGATGCACCCAAAACCATATCTCTCGGTGATTTTAGTAGGTTTTTTTCCAATATTAGAATCAATATTTGCCATTATTGATCACTATCTCGGTGATATTTGCCAATATTTCTAAATATTTCTTCCTTTCTTTATATGAACAAAACTATCCTTTGCACTTGTAAATTTATAAGGATAATTTTGTCATATTTTATTAACATAATAATTGATAGACAATGAAGACTGACAATGAAGACTTTTAATATTTATAGTCTTTTGAATTAACGACTTGAGCTATGGTAAAATCATTAATTAATCATTATCACTATAAAAAAAAAGGGCTTGTGACGGACAATTTCGTGACTAAATTAATGAAAATCCGTCACAAACATACTTTTGTGACAGAATGATGACAGAATACGTCTGTGAGAAAATGGCTCGTCACTAATTAAAATAGTGACGCATATATGTGTCTGTCACCTAATTTGTCACGGAATTATCCGTCAGTATTCAAAATAATTCCGTCCCTAATATCTTGTCAAAGATCCATAAAATTTGTGACAGATGTCGTCACAAAATTATTTTTGTTGTCACCAATCCGTCATCAATTTACTGAAGGTTATTCGTCACATATATTGTCACAAAACCATGCCCGTCACATATAGCCATCACAAAACGTCTGTCACAAATGTTTGTCACAAACCACCGGTAACAAATCCCTTACAAATCTTTTGCTAATTAAAATTATATTTTGTTTTGAACCGTCATAATTTTTTCACATATTATTAAAACAATATTTTATTATTATTATTATTTTAGTTTTGTACACTATTTGTTAAACATATAATTAAATATTTCAAGAACTCACTTGACTTTGAAATTTAATCATCAATAAGAACAACAACAAAAATAACAATGTGTAAAATATCT